CCCTCTGACTGCTGCAGGGGCGTGTCTTAGAGAGTGGCTTTTATACCAGAACACAGCCGCTGTGAYGAAACCGTGGAGAAGACACGTCACCGTGGAGAGCCGTTAACCAATATGCAAATTAGCCTGCAGTACCACTGCTCCACCCATATGAGCAGCAAAAACACCTTTTTAGACCAAATGTTACAGATTTGAACAAATACGCACAAAAACTTGAAAAATTAGCACAGAAACAGTACTATATAACATTTAACTTTCAAGTTAATTTTGGGGTAAGTTACTCTTTAAATAAGTCTAAGGCTCCAACTGCAATACTCTAAAACTATTTTTGTGTTAGCTGAAGACATATTTYGCTTCTTAKGTGTGGAGTTTTCATTGCTCAGCTGTTTAAAACAAGATTTTCTGGCCAAACTGTTTGTGTGCAAAGATGGCAGAAAATTTGTCTGGAGGGTCTCAGTCTGTACTGAGTAAAGGTCCAGTCAGGCTAACCTTCTCTACACCAAACTCTGTCCTTTTTCTCGTCTCTCCAGTCGACTTGTCCGGACAGAGGGAGCTCAGRGGAACTCGCCATCAGCCTACCCAGCATGCCTATCACCACCTCAAACACYTTAAGTCAACCAGAGGCAGAAGTTGTCACAAGTGAGTCGACAGTTTTTAGTTTACGTTGAGAGACAATATATTTTGGGTGAAAATGCTGCATTTTAAAAGTGGCTGAATCAGCTGAAAAAATTAATTCAAGCTAAAAGAAGCAGAACACTAGCTAAAAGTAGTCAAATATTAGCTAAAAGTGTGTAAACTTAACTAAAGGGTAAGTTTAATGCTACAAAAGGTGACTAAAAATTAAAGCAGCAGTGTTTAAAATKTTAAGTAAAATTAAAGTAGGTAAAGCTAAAGTAGCTAAAGTAGCAAAAGGTTTGCTAAAAACAATAAATGGTTAGCTAAAAATTAAAATAGCAAAAAGTATCAAGAAACTAAAAGTGGCAAAAGGCTGGCTAAATGCTAAAAGTAAAGAAAAAGCCGACAAAAAGCTAAAAATAACAAGGCTAGCTAAGAATATCAAGCTATTGGCTAAAAATGGCAAACGGTTAGTTAAAATTTTAAGTAGCAAAAGGCTGGTTAAGAGTTTCAAAGTGCTAACTAGAAGCTAAAAGTAGCAAAAGGCTGTCTAAATGCTAAAAGAAAACAAAAAGCTGACATAAAGCTAAAAATAACAAGGCTAGCTAAGTAGCAAAATGCTAGTTAAAAGCTTAAAGTAGCCAAAGGCTGGTTAAGAGTTTCAAAGTGCTAACTGGAAGCTAAAAGTAGCAAAAGCCTTGCCCAAATTATCAAAGGGCTAGCAACAAGCTAAAAGTRTCAAAAAGCTAACTGAATCAACATTCACTGTATTAATAATACCAGCATCCAGAGTCCAGGTTGTGTGAGGAAGAGCGTCCATCATTTAACAGTTTGCTAAATGTTTTACGTGAGTTTGCTCACTTTTGCAGCCCCTGCAGAAGGGAGCAGCTGAAAGGAAAAACAAAAACAACAACTGCTAACTAGATCAAACGGCTGACCTCCTGTTTCAGGTCTCAGTCGCTCATCCTCCCCGTCCACTCTGACCTGCGACCCAGCGACCTGTCCCATCATCCCCGGCTGTGAGACCACCATTGAAATCTCCAAAGGCCACACGGGGCTGGGCCTGAGCATCGTGGGAGGCTGTGACACCCTGCTGGTACGAAACAGGCTTTAACTTCCTCTCACYGGCTTCGCCAGGGGAGTTTGTCTAACTCGTAAAGATATAAATGGCTAATGTTTGAAGGGGTTTTGTGACTGTACTCCCACCCGTGATGCCTCTCAACGTGAGCTGGGTCTGACAGAGCTGTGGCAGCTCAGGAATGTAGGAAACAATGTTGTCACAGCTTCTCTCCTCCTGCCATCGCCGTCTTTTCTGTCTGCTCAGTCAGGCTTGGGGGGGGGTCAGCTCATTGTCTGACAACCAATCCTGGAATGCAACCTCCAGACCCCACACTACTCACCCAAACGCACAGAAGCTGTTCTCTAACATCATTCTGGAAACTTGTGTTTTCCTCCAGTAAAACTTGATTTCTCCAAAGATTTCCACCTGAATAAACACTTGATTGGTGCTTTTTGTCCTTCACCTCTCTGCTTTCCTCTCTCCTCAGGGAGCCATCATCATCCATGAAGTTTATGAAGAAGGAGCCGCCTCCAAAGATGGCAGACTGTGGGCGGGGGACCAAATCCTGGAGGTACCGTCGGATACAACGAGCGGCACGTTTGACCTCAACGAACCATTTAGTTTAAAACATAAAAGTGTTTGGTTTTTTCCGAGGACACCAAAAAAAGAAGCTTGATAATCCGACGGATGAAAGTTCTGTTAATAACGGCAACAAAGAAGTAAAAAACAAAGGGGAGGGATTGAGAAAACCACCAAAGTGTCCTCGTGTGTTTTATGAACACCAAGAAGTTAAGTACCCAGGCTCAACTTGGATGTGCCCTCCCTTTGACCTCAGGCTTTGTCACGGAGGGGCGGAGCTTACGATTGTAGTTATTGTAGCTCGCTCTGTGGACCTGAACTGGAAGGCACCCACCATTATGACTTAATTACCCTCCGCTATTCATTTTCTGTCTGAAGGCAGTTGTGTTTAGAAAATAAGGTCAGAGAGGCAAAGTGGGGGAAAAAAAGGGAGCAGTTTCCCACTGAACAACCGTGCTGTTGGCTGCTCTGGGAAAAATTCCTTGCATGTCCAGAATGAAAGCTAATGTGCTATTAACCCCTTTTTATTGTGGTAATAAATGAAAATGGTGAACATTAGTCGTAAAGTGGCTACTTGAGTTTCTCACCAAATTTTGTGGGAAGGCATACCAGCAGTTGTTGACATCATCCAATTTCCATACAAAAGCAGACAACGATGTTTGTTAGCAAAATAACAGTTTCCCCATAAWTTAAAGCTTTTTGGTACAGCCTTGTACTGTGATTTCTTTTGGACCTGCGGTGTCGTAACGTGCCAGTTTTGCTTTGAAGAGATTTTTTTTTTATCTCTCTCTTTCTCGTGTACATCTTAGGTAAACGACATCGACCTGCGAGCGGCCAGCCATGACGAAGCCATCAACGTGCTGCGGCAGACCCCGCAGAGGGTTCGGCTCTCGGTCTACAGGGACGAAGCTCAGTACAAGGAGGAGGATCTGTGGGACTCCTTCACCGTGGAGCTGCACAAGAGGCCCGGTCAGGGTTTGGGCCTGAGCATCGTGGGGAGAAGGTGAGGGGCTGTTTACAGGACATTCACAACAGAGTGTGTGCTTGACTGCTGTTTGGATTTTTGTAACTATACAACAGTTTCAGTGGAGGATGCTGGTCTTTCAAGGAGAGGAAGCTCAGTTTCGGCCTACATAATAAAATGTGTGTTATAAATTCTTCCCTCCGTTCCTTTTGAAGAAAACGATCTGTGACCCTGTCACAGAGCTTGTTTTTAGTTTATAGTATTCATTTCATTTAAAAAAACAAAACATTACACACAACAAAACAATACAAATAAAATAAAATGAAAAGTAGCAGCGGAAGAAAAAGATCTTTATCTGCTCCTGTTTACAAAAAATATTAATTTCAATCAATAAACCAAATAACAAAACAAAACAAAAAATTTAACTCCTCAAACAGTGACTCACAAATACAAATTAAACAACTTCATAATTCTTTGATAATTTTGCTTTGATGATTTTTTAAAGGAATTATTTGATCCAATGCTTTTATAATCATTTTCCAGATTATTCTATAGTCTTTTACAGCAGCCAGCTCACTTTGTACCAGGACAGCTGAAAAGACCTGTTATTTCCCCACTGTGGGATCAATTAAAATGTTTTTTTATCTTATGTTTCCCCACCTTTTGCACCAAATTAATCTGAGGAGTTGATCAGCCCTTCTGTTTAACTCTAAGTATTTCTTTGTAAACAAGACTGTATCAAATGGTTTCTCCAAAATCCGGTCCACAACATTCAAACTCTGYCATTATGTGCAGCTTGCTACCTAGCTAACTCACTAGCTGGGACTGGCGCGAGGCTAGAGTGAAGTGTGTCCACCTTTAACACAAGCAGATACAATAAAACCCACCAGAAATAAAACCTTGATTTGTTGCCAGTCGTTTTTAACAAAGAAAATGCCGCTAAGATGATTAGGAAAGTCTCCGGTTCAGCTCAGAACAGAAACWAAACTAAAAACTGCTCCCACTGAATGTTTACACCAAAACATCTCTGATTCGCTCATTTCGCTGTCAATCAAAAAGGGATTCAGGTTCAGACAGATCATCCAATCATCATGCAGAATCTGGGCATCCGAACCCGCCCACTGCTCCATAGACTCCCAGAGACGCTCAGCGTCCGGGGGCGGKACAAAGCCCAGCATTTATCCAATGGCTCGTCTCGTTTCGCTGCATTTTTTTGCTTCACYRYTGAAGTCTGTGGACGCTCAGCGTCCGACTGTTTAAAGCTCTGTGAAGCAGCGGGAATGAGGGAGAGGAAAGCTGCGTCGTTACCAGTGATAAAAAGCTGATTCTGAACAAAAGTCGAGCACGTTGTAGCGCATATTTAGTCAATGACATGAACACACAACAGTGTGTATTTGATCACTTATTTTTTTACATTTCAGGGGAAGCTGAGCTTCCCTTGCAGTCTTGAAGCAATCGCCTCTGGACAGTTTTATCTAGGGGTGCACTGATAAATTGTCCCGATCATTTATCAGTACAGATTTCCTTAATTTTGGGAGTTAGAAGATCGGCCAATAYTTTAATAAGATCGGTGGAAAAGATCGGCTTCTCATCTACCTCCCCTTTTGTTCTGCTGTGAGCAGCTACCTCATGTCCAGTTAAAACAAGTTTGTATTGTTTCAAGGGTGTTTTTCAGTGTCTGTCAATAAAAATAAATTTGAAACATTGAAAGTGCATTGTGACCTTGCTGACAGTGTCAGCTATGTAAAATATCTATATCGGCCAAAATCGGAATCAGCACGTCAGGCTTTTTAAATGTCGGCGATCGGCCAGAAAACTGCAATCAGTGCACCCCTAGTTTTACCTCTTAGTTTAAAACTGGATTGATTCCACAGCAATACTTCCTCTCTTTATAATACTGGATCAGATTGGTCCCAACTGGTTTCAGAAATGTTGGTACCAGAGTGGTAAACTCTCAGTAGAGCCAATTAGAATCTTAAGAAATGTAAGAATTATTTGCAATTGCAGTATTTCTATTTTCTTCAGCACAGATCGTAGGATCACAGGTAGCCATTTACCGTATTTATTCAAGAATAATATGTAAAATTTAATCCGTAAAATCATCCATAAAGTTGTGGGGTAGTAGTATACTGGTATAAATATTTTTTACTAATGTATTTTAACTAAAATATCGGCTTCATTCACAAAATGCCTGAGTCCGGAAATGAGACCATGATGTAAAAAGCTGTTGAAGCGAACTTACCTCTGACGCTCCTCCATGTTTCAGAGTGAGATAATAACAGATCCAAGCAGGCGACATGATGTGAAAAAAGGGGGGAAAGTGTTCCTGCACCTTAGTAATGATAATGAACTAATGACATTAGTGTGTAACCGAGCCGCTCCTCGAACAACAACAAACACGTGTTCGTCTGTAATGGCTGCCGTCTACCGGTGTTCTGAAAAAGTTTGTATCCCTGAAAAAAGTTTCCCCACCAGAGGGGGCGCTCGCGAGTAGGAAGTAATCTGCTTTTGCCCCAGAAGATGGTCCAAATCTCATATGAAGTCTCTGACTTTTGTGTTGGCACATCCTGGTGGACTATGWGTAAAATGCCAGAATTCATATGATGCTGCTACAGCTGATATATATCTGTTGTCAAAATACCTTTTAGTACATTTGTTGTTAAAATAAAATGAACAGTCCAATGATCATTTTACTGATATGTATAAAGACTGCAAAGGCTGAAAAATCTTGAAGTCTGTATGAAACTGGAGGTAGATTGAGGATTAAACTTTTTATGCTTTTCAAGCTCGTATTAGACATGAGATCGTATTATACATAAATAAATACTGTAATCAAAGCCTTATGTACACATGTTGTCAGGGAGGTAATGCTAGGGTTAAAATTAGGTTTAGATTTGCACAAAATGTCAAAATCATGGACTGTATTTAGTTTTTCTATCTTCTCCATCAAATAGTTTTCACATTTCCTCTTGAAAAATGTTGTAAAAACTCACAAATATATGGGTTTTATTGACAAAATATAATGGTTTTATTATTTTTTTTAAGTGTCTGGCAAATCAGAAAGATATATAAAAGCTGACCAGCAGCTTCATTTTTCATTCGGTACATTTCTTCCTCTCTGACGGTGGTTCTGTGTGCGAAACCCTCAAAATGCCATAAATAGTGGAAACTGCTGAGGCCACCTAAAACGCCTTGCTGAGAAGGAAAAGTGCAAGGCAGCAGTTAGTGGYGAGGAGCTGTGACAGCCAAGTGTCTCTGGTTCAGGGTGTCGAGTTGGATCCATCTGCTCTGCTTCACGCTTTGAATCTTTATCCGTGTGGAGATCGGCACCCAACGTGTGTGCTTTTATGGGAGATCATAAACTGCATCCTCAAAAAAAAAAAAAACAAAACATTAAAAAACTGTGAAAAAATGTTTGGAAGCATTGGTGCAGAGCTGATCAGCACATCTTACGATTTCTCTATTTGATCCGCCAGAAACGACACGGGGGTGTTTGTGTCCGACGTCGTGAAGGGCGGCCTGGTGGACKCGGACGGTCGGCTGACGCAAGGCGACCAGATCCTGTCGGTCAACGGCGAAGACGTCCGGTCGGCCACTCAGGAGGCCGTGGCCGCCCTGCTCAAGGTGACTGGACTCTCGCTGCTCGGCGCGGCCCCGTCTTTTTGCCTCTGCTCGATTTAGAGCTGGTCCTTGTGTTGCAGTGCTGCGTGGGSCCGATAAAGATCGAAATGGGGAGGTTCAAGGCGGGACCCTTTCACTCGGAAAGAAGGCTTTCTCAAAGCAGTCAGGTAATTTAGCTCAACTTCAGCATGGACTGGGATCCATTTTTTTAAATCGTTTTTTTAAATATCAATTTTCTGGTTACAGAAAAGCGACACAGGCAGCACTAAGGTGGCCCATCTATCTGCTTCGGACCCTGGAAATCTCCCCGGTGATTCAGACCAACCAAACAAAAGCCCGGAGCGTACGGGTTAGAAGATGGTAGATTTCATTCAGACGTGTTCAAGAGATCTGTTTTGATTGTTTCTCYCCTCCTGACAGCTGCAGACCAGGACGTGAGAACGGTGGAGCTCACCAAAGGCCCCAGTGATTCTCTAGGAATCAGTATAGCAGGCGGAGTGGGCAGCCCTCTGGGCGACATCCCCATCTTCATCGCCATGATGAATCCGGCCGGCCTGGCTGCTCAGACGCAGCTCAAGGTACAAGATTCACCTCTCAGCTGTAATCTCCTCCTTTACCCTTCAGCAGAGTGTAAAAACAAGGAATGTGCATATTTGTCTGGTTTAATGCAGAAAACCTCAGTTATGCAGCGCAGTCGTGAGCCTTAAAGGCCATCGGAGGTCGACAGCCTTCAGCCTTTAGGCAGCGTCCTTCGCTCTSACAATTGTGCCAGTGTTTGACCGAGACAGGGGGTGGACAAAGGACTTAGCCAACATGGATAATAAATCTCCCACCCTTGCCTTCAGATTGTTAAGTCCACAGGGAGGCTCATTGAAGAGAAAATGTTTTGCCAAGTGAGAAATGAGAGCTCTGCGTGATACAAATTATTCAGCGTYGTTTGACTTTCGTGACGTTATAAAGTTTGGAAACAGCTTGAGCCATTGTTCTTGCAGAAATCACACAACGGCACTATTTTCTGTGCTGTTAGACCCAAAATAAATGTAGCTAAAAAGGATAGTTCAGATCTTTAGAAGTGGAAGGATTGTGAGCAGTTGATATCTTAYCTGTTGCAGATAGCACTTTGAAAAAAAAGCTTTGAAAAGTAACTTAATTTCTGACTGGGTTAATGATGTTTAGCCCGATCGGGKTCAAGTCTAAATTAAATTTCTGCTGTTGCAAACAGGTCCAGGTGTCAATTGGTATCTATTTTTTTACGTACATAAAGTTCACAAATTTCCATAAGCAAGTAAGCAAATCATTACAAATCATTACTCCAAACAATATTATCGTTTATCGCAATAATTCCCGAGACAATATATCGTGACAGGTGTAATAGAAAACACAATTTTATAAACCTTTACATCGTGGTCTGTTTTATGTAGGCAAAAATATATTGTTCCTGCTGGACGCGCTACAGCTAGCTGCTGCTGTTAGCCTTTAAAAGTAAACCCATTTTCTGGAAACTAGGACAGCACAGTATATTGTCATGTATAAATGTGTTTATATTATAAATTTAATATATTTTGGTGTATGAAATAGATCCCTACTGTCTTGAATGTTCATATACAGCGGGTAAAATAAGTATTGAACACGTCACCATTTTTCTCAGTAAATATTTTACTAGAGGTGCTAATGACATGAAATTTTCACCAGATGTCGGTAAAAACCCAAGTGATCATACAAATAAATCAAACCATAAATGCCCAGAAATTAAGTTTTTTGTAATAATGTTGAATGGCACAGGGGAAAAGGATTGAACACATGAAGATAGGGAGGTGTAAAAATGCATAGAAAGCCAAGACACCAGCTG